CACACACACACACTCACACACACTCTCACACACTCTCACACACGCACACACACGCACACTCTCACACACTCTCACACACGCACACACACGCACACACACACTGTCCCCTGTCCTGTTGCAAAGGAGGCCCCCGTCATTAGTCCACAGTGAGAGCAGCAAGGCTTGAAATGAAAAGCTGATAATGGCTGTGTTTAAAATGAGACCTGCCAGAGGATCCCACAGCTTGTTACGTCTGATAAATGGGCCAGTCTGTTTGGGGACTACTGGAGACCACTTCATATAACGCATATGGCCCTGAAACAGTGATTCCCTTCATTATATCATAATGATTACATCTGCTATTTTGGCTGTATCAAATGGTTTGCACAAGTAAAACTTATTTTGGGCTAATGCTCAGGACTCCTTACAGGATTTCTACTATGATCATCTCTAACTCAACCTCAACATTTTTATTCGTGGACTCTTCTAGAGTCACAGTCGCTGTTAGTTTGTTCACTGCCCAAAACGAGACAGCCCCCCTCCCTCTGAACGAAATGTCTTCTGATTGGTTGTCCCTTAAAAAAAGAAGTTTTGAAAGGATTACAGGCGGGGCTTCTGTGCTGACAGCTAGAACTGTGTGCCTGGGGCGAATAGACCGCACCCACCCTGATGGGTGCGGTCTATTCGTCCAGACAATTTGGGATTCATCCTCAAGGACAATATGCAGACTGAAAAATCCAGGGACTAATAGATGACACGGGAATATCTTTTATAACATCGTGCAGATCAAAGAGTAGAAAACTCATTTCAGTCTGAACCCTGAGCTTCTGGCTTAAAGGCATTAATTATTTTCACATAGATTGACCTCATTATTTGAAACTGGAACCAGTAGAACAGCATGTGACTGAAAGGGAAAGGCAGCCTAACACAGCTCTGTTGAAAGATCTGTTTCATATCTGCTGCCCTCAGCACTGCCATGAAAACTGCCCACGCTGCTGCTCCAGGCCTTTTCCACCTCACAAACACCAGGCGAAACGAATTTCATTTGAGTCCCTTTAAATGTCTCAGTAAAGCATGGCAGTGAACCTGTGTGTACCACAGCCGGGCCTCCCATAGGTGCAACACAGTCAGCATTAAAGCACGTCTGTGTTTTTCTGCTGTGTCAATTATTAAAATGAATTTTTAGGACGGGCAGCTGCTCAGAGTGCATTAGAACTATCTCGGGTCACTTGCACAGAAAGCATAACACAGGAGGAGATGTTTTATGCCACTGTCAGTAAATCATCTGGGAACTAATCATATATTAAAAACTGATGTGTCTGTTGATGATGTTATCTAAAATATTTTTGCTGAACTTCCAGTCAATCACAAGTACTGATGCCTGCTGCAGTGTGACTGTCACTGTTTCTTTTTTATTTCATTTTCTGGCTTCTGCTGCCTGCACAGCAGGCGGGGTGGTGACAGTGGGGGGGTTTGAAACTTTGTTCAAAGATGAACCAAAAGAAACAAACCAAAGCCAACACCAGCTGCCTACTGAGCAGGAATGTGTAACCTCTGCAATGCTGTGTGTGTGCACTCAAGATAATCTACACTTAACTACAGCTGAGGTGTTATTAATGAAGCTGTGTTTACATCAGGGCTGCCACGATT